CAATATTGTTCGGAAAGTCGGCAAATAGTAAAGCATCGTTAGCTTCTAAATGTTAATTAATTCCAAACGGCAATTATCCGATAATAGCCGTTGGATATTTACGATTCATTCACATTGCGAACGATATCATAATTTGCATCCGAAAATGGGATTCATCCACAGAGAGTGATATTTACAAATTCAACTTGTACAAACTGATAAAAATATATATATTAGGTATCATAAACGCTCCAAGATTTACATTGGGTACATTTTTAGATGCAATTTCGAAGATCATAATATATAATAAACATTATTTGTGGTACATAATTAAGATACTTTCAGCTGATAGAGTTAAAAGCGACAAATAATAATGTGCTACAATATATTTTTGATCATTTTAGTTCTTATTTTACATTACTTATTGTTTCATGGCTATTGGCATGCGAAAAATATTGAATGTTGCGTTTGAAAAATCGTTATAGCAAAATAATCCTTCGTGTAAACCGTTTTGAAATTGTTATAACAAAGTAATCGTTCATATATATCAATATTTTTATATTGGTTCTGGGAAATGCAGTTTTATATGTTTTATTTCTTGCATTATTAACAAAACTAATATTAATATTTTCGCTTCAATATTAAAATATATAAAAAGATCCGAATGATTGATTTAAATATAAACGTGGAAGAGTGCTTCCTGGAACTTGACAATATTAAAAAGCAAAGACTGTTGCTTCTGTTTCTATATCTCGCGGCTAATTACTGACCACGCGTAGAATTAGAAGAAAAAATCTTTAATAATTTAGAAAGTTGGGAATTTAATTGCCGAAAGGATTGAGAGGGCGAACTGCGGAGTAACAGGATGCAGAAGCGCCGTGGGACATATTGAGCCACTTAAAAAACGATATTTTCGATGTGTGTGCTTTATCGGGCGCGAACGTGGCGCAGACCGGATAGTCACGTGCTGTGCGTGCCTCGCCGTGGATTTCCCAGATTTGCGATCCCCGAATCTCACTGGCCGTCCTATCTCCGACGAAAACCCGGGCACCGCGGCGCACCCTCGATCGGCCCAAGGCAAAAATAATAGACTCGTCGCACGTTTTCATTCCCTCGGCGTGACGGCGGCCGCTATTGACTGCACCCTCATCCCACGGAAAAGCTTTACAGGGATAGGCGTAATCACGAAAATTCTACGCGAGCCACTCCAAACATCTTTACGATGCAAGATAATGACGGCGAAATCGGTGACTCCTTCACCACTTATTAATAAAGTAATTTTATAAGCGTCCTATATAATTATTTTGATGATCCAACAAAATTATTAATTTTTTAAATCTCCATCTAGCTAAATTTTTGAGCAAAACCTTTCTTTTCCATATATGTACTGTTTACACATTAATTATATATTTATTAATCATGCTTACATATTTTTATATACTATATTTGATATAACTAATATGATATGCGTATCAGACTGAGAGATGTTAAAAGAATTGCTAAAAAGACATTATGATAATTTATCGTCAAATTATTAAATGAACTTTATTGATTTCTTGATTGTGACTTGATAGACAAATAAGACTCTTCTTCTATCGTTCTTTTCTAATTAAAAAGTTATTAAGTCAGCTTATCTTTATCTTGATATTGATATTCTTTTGATTAAAGGCATGTCAGTCATAAAATACTTATACGGATATTTATGAGGACGTGCTATTAGTAATGTAACAGATTTTTTTTATGCGGTAATAATGAAGTTTTCAATTGTAGCTTGTTTCTATGTATATTCTAAACTTTGTCATTAAATATTTAAATAAAACAGTTCAAACTCCATCTTTATCTTACAGATAAAATTAAAGAAAATGGCCAATTTTTTATAATATCCTGTATGGTTCTATTTGTTGATGAACTTAAAAAAGTAACTCGAAATAATATTGAAATAGATATATATATTTTATCTTCTTCCTTCTATGATTTTTATTTATTTTGAACATTTTGGTTAAAACAGTGAAAATGAAACGTTAAAAAGAATACGCAACATTCCATAACGTTCCCGTCTGAGAAGCGAATCCGGAAAGATTTTTGATATTTTCCGAGCGGGAAGGTTTCTGTAGCGCGCGCGTAAAAGCACGTATGTGGCGAATCGATTGTGCAAACAAGAGCGCCCCCGTCTCTATCGTTCTCTCGTTAAATTTCTGTTTCACCGTTTCAATGCAAACGTTGCGAGATATAAAAGTTGCAAGCAGGCCATCAGGCCAATCCGAGAAGTTTTGCTCTGTTTGCTTGGCGCATCTAACTTATTAATAGCGTATAATCGCAAATAGATCTCTATTTATATATGTACAGTATTTTCGCTTATCGATACAAGGCGATGTTTCATGTCAAAATTCGTTATAAATGATTTTTCTCCTATTAAGATTTAAGTGAGTATTTTTTTTACAATCGTAGAAAACATATTGATCTTCAGATGTTTCCGTAAAACATGGAATGTGAAAATATTACAGTAACTAAATTTTATATTAAAATTCTGCTAAAGCAGAATACGCGCTTGTGAGCTTAACTTAAATATTTAAATTAAAATTCAAAATATTTCTCTTTGTTTCTATACTTATATGAATATGTCTTACATTGCTTACATTTAAATATATACCTCTGAAATCATACAATTAAGGTAACTGAAACGAATGCAACATCTAACATTTTTTTTATCTTCAAAATAATAACTAAAAATAATTTTTCTTCAAAAAAACATGACAATTTTCGATATCTTTATCTTTCTAAAAAAGATATACTTTATTATCTCGCAATAAATATATTCATATAACTCTAGCTTTATTTCTCTCATACTAAGAAAGTAGTTACGAGCCGAGAATTCAATTATAGCCACATTTAGCATCAAAGTGCATATAGAAGTGGACACGGGCTTTGGTCATTTTTAACGAGCCGTGCCGCGCAGAGCATTGGTCGAAGTCGATCGATGAGATAGCATTGGAAGACAGGCAGGTGGTGGATGAGTCGCCGCCGATCAAACGCCTCGAATTGGCAGCGATTTCTCGACCAGCGGCAGCGGCCGCAGCCAACCCTCTCTGTTAGCTAGCCGTCACTTCCGTCGAGTCAATTTTAATAATTCCACCCCCCATAAGCCACCTTCGTACTGCGATGACTCGCACGATTTTTCCTGCAGCTTTCAATTATCCGAGGACCCGCACTCCCACGAGCGAGTAAATGCTGTCTCGCGAAATATCGATCGTTTGGCGTTCTCTCTCTCTCTCTCTCTCCCTCTCTCTCTTTCCTTCAGGACGATTATCGCGTTAGACACCGGAAGTGGGCGGAACGAGAAATTACGAGTTGTAGTAATGAGAAGGTGCGTTATTGTCGCCCGCAATTATGACTGTTATATATGTCGTAGACGTTCTGAAAAAATGTTGAAGCCGTTCGTAGGCTAATTGGATGATTTCCCCAAATTATACGCGAAAGTCTTCCTTGCGAAGAATTTATCTTTAATAATATTGTCGAGATATTTCAATTACAATTATCGATATATTAACGATTGAAAATAAAGTTTTTGAGAAATTTTCTTAATTGTCACATTATTTAATTAGTTTCTAAGTATGTATTTTCTTTTGGCAGGATTTTTGTTCATATACATGCATAGACTCCACTTCAATATTTTTTTATTTTTTTTAACAAAGCACTACATTATTCTGCGATACAAATATAGTTATATGTGTGTGAATCCCTTAGAAAACTAATACACACTAAACAAAATTACTTTGGCACGAATGGCGCAGTAAAACCGGATGTATACGAAAAACGCCGGGTACCCGCTAATATATCCTTTTTGGTTGCGGAAAACCGGAGTTCTCAATCGGTCGGTTAAAAAAAAGGGAAGATCGTAAAAAGAGTACTGTTGTAAAGTAATAATTGATTTATGACGGCGCGGCGGTGCTTTTTTGCCGAGCTTTTACGGTACTTTTTTCTTCTCTAAAATTTGAAGGGTCTTAGATTATTTCAAAAAAAGATACAACAATATCGTGCGTGTGCAATTAAATATCTGTGACATAATTGACGCAACGGTACAATAAAAGCATAAGCACTCATACATGTATGTCTAAAAGACGTCATGAAAATTCATTCAGAATGTCATAAAGATGTCTTTTGAGATATACGTATCTAAAAAACTATACGTATCTTAAAAGACATCATAAAAACATCGTCTAGACACAAAAGTGACGTTGTGCGTGTCGTCTAGACACTTCGTTCTCAAGATGTATAGCAAAAACTTCAAGAACCGTTACAAAATTTATTTCTCAAAACCGAATATTTTTTTCATTTTATTCATACATATTTTGTTTTACTGCATTTATAAATCAAATTTATTAAGAACACAATAGATTTATAATACATTAAATTCACAAATGAGTCACTAAAATAAAAAGAGTATGTAGTAATTTATGATATTATATACTAAGTTTCTCTTGAGATCAAAAGAAAACAAAAATATTAAAAGAAAAGTAAAAATAGGGTAATGGAAGTCAGCGGGATAATCAATATGCAAAATTTTGTTTTAAATTAACGTTTTTATAATTAATAACATTTTCATAATTAATTATATTATTCGGAAAATATACAATATTTAAAAGCGTTCGCGTAGCCAATATATCGACTTATTTAAAAGTCATTCAACGGAAAGAAGATAATATCATGGTAACATATTTATGCGCAAAAACACTAAAAAATTTTATTAATATTGTTGTTGTTTTCCCTTAAATGAACGAATTCTTTCATTTGAATTGAGTGATAATTTAATCTTTATTATGCTTTTAAAATCTGACAAAATTAAAAAGTTTTATATTAAAAGTTCAACGTTAAAATTTAAAAAGGAAATAGGTTATATATGAGAAAAAATTAGGGAAAAGAATTGCAACGCGTTTCACACTATTTATTTTTGTCCGTTTATTCTTAGACCGGATCTAAGTGACATCGATGCCATCGATATATTGGACCTTTTATTGTTTCAGTTCGATCTTCGTGGGAGGCTGCGCAGCGCGTAAAGATAAACATCCATACGCAAGAATAACATCTTCTAGATCCCTCTAATCACAACACTCAGAGGATACTCCGTACATAAGCGAGGAACATGGGTAAGAAAACACTTTTGATAGAGCCATCGGAAAAATGAGAGAGCGGCCTGGCAATTCATCAAGGGAGATCATTATTCGTGATAACAGAGAAAACTGGATCGCGCATATAACAAGCAAGGGTATGAATTATTATCAATGAACAATTTTAATCAAATCAAAATAAAAAAAGGATACGCGGATTATTCGAAAATTAAATCGAATTTTTTTAAGCTAATCTAATTAGACACAGTTTTTCATGAAATTTTATAGTTATAGTATAACAATTAAATATTGTTAATAAGGAAGCATAATAGAAATTGTTCTAACAAAATGAATAATATTTCGAAAATATAATTTTATGAAAAAAAATAATGTAACATTTTTTAATTAGCGCTAATAAAATCATTTTATTTTATCAATGTTACATTTAATAATCAAGATTCTCATAAATAAACTAATTTTTTTCATTTTGAATAAATATGTAATTTTTATTCAGATTATTTTGATACATTCCACGCTGTTCTACAACGTTTCGCAATATAATCGAAAATAGAACAACTTGAGCTACGCTCGATTCTAATGGCACTTCGAGTTCGCTAAAGAAGATAATGTTACATCGTATACGCATTACATAGTATTGTTTTAGATATATTGATAATTATTAATCTTGTTTAAGAAATGCTTTTTCTTCTTTTTCGTGAGCTTTTTTTATACGAATAAATAGATAATACGATAGAGATTTAAAATTTCACTAAAAGTTATCAATAAATTTATCCTGTAAATGATAATTCACGATGGAAAGAATTGGAAGGAATTTATGCTGCAAATTATCAAATTCTTTAATATCAAGGATTAAAGTTTTGGAATTTTATTTATTCCTTCCTTTTTTCTCTTAATATTGATTAATTTATTTATTAAAATTAAAGTAGATCAATATTTTTATCTTACATTAAGAGACATTAGATTCTATTATTATATTTAGAATAAAAGGAAAAATTAAGAGCAATTTCAATATATTTCAATGTTATCATCGGTTATTTCTAGATTATCTTCTTTTCAAAGATAAAGAATACAATACGACGGCATAAATTCCTATCAATTTTTCCTTAATCCAACTATTTTTAAAAGAACGCAGAATATCTCAACAAAATGTACCAACGACGAGATATATAAAATGGATATTACATTTTACATGGAGGCACATGTGAGACTTGCGATATGATCTGATATTTACCGAACAAGTTTGTATAGATTTACTTTATCGCAGCAATAACTTATTATCTCGAGTTCGGAGCAAATTTAGTACAAATAACTCCTATTGATCTGTGTGAAGTAAAACGGAATAACAAGTGCTCATTATGGAGCTCATTATGGATAATGACGGTATATTCCAATACAGTCCAAACCTCTGTTATGACGTACCTATATTGATTAGCTCATGCGAAGAAGTATTGCGAAATTTATTTGATTGACTTCTACAAAAAGTTATACAAAATATGACACGATATCTGCTTACGATATGCGTATAGAGTGTTATCATTCGTAAAACTACGTCTACGTATTTATTGCCAGTTGGGAGATATATCGGTAGGAATATCTGCCGTAAAAACCGCAGAATATCCATAAAAATATCTATGTGTAAACAGTACCGGCGAAGACATGATGTATGTGGATAAATAAACTTGCATGTACAAACTGTGATAGTCTAAGTGTGATTCAAAGACAGAAAATTGTAAAACAGAATCTTCTAAATCAGAGTGAAAATTGGGAACTCTTAATATCTTAGCAGCCAAGATTTTAATTCATGCATTTCTATAGCATATCATGTAATTGTATTTTTTTTTAAGATAAGAAATTTTTTTGGCAGAATTGTACGTAATTGTATGTAATTGTTGATAATGAGGTAACTGTGCCAATTAATTCATTAATCCATTTAACATAGTACCTTATCTCTTGAGCGAGACAATTCATGATAATAAAAAAAATTTGTAAGTACTTTTAAAAATTTTCTTAAAATATACGAGAAATCTACTTATAATTTATAATAAATATACGAACAAGACGACTAAGAAGAATTAACATATAGCTGCTATAAAATACAAAATAGGTCTATACGTAAAGATATGGAATATACGTATCAATGGAATATTTGAATTTACGTGCTTAACTCAAAAATTAAATATCGAGCTATTTTTTCAAGGAAGTGATCAGAATGATATATTAATACATAAAAGAATGGATAGACGTGAAAGATATTTAAAAACACGTTGAAAGAAATATTTTCACCTCAACATGTACGATCTATTAATATTAAAGTCTGTATATACCTGCGTTGAGCTTTGTTTAATTAAAAGGCATAAAAAGAAATGCTTTTCGTATTATGTCCCAAAAGCATTTTCACGCAACAATGATTGTCGAACAAGCTTATCTGTACTAATGAGCAGTGGATAAGATAAGATGCATTGTGGTAAGATAACAGATGAAGTATGAGAAATTAGTATTAACCCTTCGCGGTTCCAATTATTTCTTGAAAATGAATTAGAATGAACAATTTCATCCTCAATTTAATTTAACATAGTTTAATGTGTACCACTTAACTTACATTACTTAAAGGAATTTATGGATGTTATAAAAATATAGTTTGCAAATTGTAATCCTGCATTCGAACATTTGGAAAACTGTTTCCGGAAATCGCCGTAAAGCATATGTCAAACTAAAATACTGACTATGGAATTATCGACCATGGAATTACAAAGGGTTAAACTAATAAAAAACAACTAATAAAAAAGGAAAAATTGAAGAAAGGAAAAGACAATGTAATAAAAAAAAAACAGTGTTGCGATGATTGAAGATATAACATTTGTTATGTATCAAGCAAATTTGAGCGTCATATGCAGTTATGCAAAATATTGTAAAAAAACAATAGTATTTTTGAAGTCATACGTTTTGAAAAATATTCGATCACGCATTTGAATCATTCTAGCCATATCAAAATGCAAAGCAAATATCATCTATTTTAACCTGCAATCGCATTCCAGTCGGTTTCAATATTGTTAATAATGTAGAAATATTTCACATAACAATACGTCTAACAAAATTACGCGCTTAATTAGAACAGCGCTTAATAGTAATAAATAATTATTTCGAAAATACATACGAATTAATGACCAAGTCATAATAACAGTCAATGATCTATTAATGATTGATATCATTCTCTAACGAAGATGCGTAATGATCGTTGGTGAGCAACGATCAGGTAAACAATCTCAAATGAAAACTATGATGATGCGTATAAAGTTTTAAGCGATAACAATATCTTTGCCAATACGCTCTAATAGTTAAATAACGCGCGAGAATAGTTATAGAAAAGCAATGTATAATCAACATATTACGATGAAAGCGATTATTCGCTGTTCTTGCCAAATCACACATATTAATGACTCCGAAATAGTTCTAGATTAAGTACATATTGTAAAATTGAAACATGGTGATTTTATAAAAGGCGATTCACGTATTTGTCTTTATAAAATCACTGCGATGATTTTACAAAAGAAATATTTCGAAAATCGCTTATGTTTTGAAATATTTTGAATTGCTTATGTTCAACTAGTTTATCAGCCAGCGATTCTGCGTATATAATCGCTGTAGAAATTTCATGAAGTCATATTTTTTAAGTTATACGTATTCATCGTAATATCTATAAGGCAACAATCACGCTTCCAACACATGCATATATTCAAAGATCGGTTACCGGTCCGGATAAATTTACACTATCTATCACGAGTGTAATTTTGGAATCGCTCGCGATTGACGAGTTCTTTTCACTTCTGGACGTATCCGACTTTTCGTCATCATCATCGTTGTCGTTGCCACCTTCCGCTTCGTCTTCAGATGATGATGATGACAACGGCATCTGATTCATTGGTTCCTTAGCCTGGTCTTCAGGAACAGGATATACACCGGAAGCCAGGACGTCGCAAATCCTGTTTACCGTTTCCGTGGCCATGGCACCGTTCACCTTTTTATGTAGTATCTTCACCAGCTTCTCCAGTCTGACAAATTACGTTTCGTGTCACGTTACATTCATTCGTGCCGGCTCGGGAACGTGCCGTTTTTCCACCGCTAATGCATCCAAACATTTGCTAATACATCCAAAGACTTGCCCAACAAATTCTTTAGCAGAGAGTAAAGCGAAAGTTTCAGCGGAAAGCCATGCTGCCGACTAGAAAACAGAAGAAAATGGTGCGATTCGATGCTTACTGTCAAGACATGCACTAGGAGATTTTCCGAGACAGAAAAAAAATCAGATCTTTGAGGAGCAAAAGAGCAAGCAAGATGTACATTCATGCTGCAGTTCGTATCAGGTCGAAAAATAGAAGTTTTGGAAAGAAAAATGTATAACAATTTAATGAAAATTGAATCTCATCATTATAACACATTGTATTTAATGTACAAAATAAAATATAACATTATGTTTAATGTACAAAATAAAATAAAACAAATATTTTATTAAATCGAATCTAAAAAAAATATAAACAAGAAAAAAACATACTTTTCAACAAAAACATATTCGAATTAAAGATTTATAATATTATAGAAAGATTTATAATATTATGGAATTATAAAAAGTTATAGTCATATAAATACAAATCAATAGAAAGTTTTTAATAAAATTTCTAAATCATGCAGAAAATATGGCAAACAGCAATTAAATTTTTTATGGCGTTTGAGAGAATAGGAATGCAATATGACTAACAAAACATAACACATACAGCAATACTGGTACAATAACAGGTGTATAAAAAAATATATATGCAACATATAATATAATATAAACATATAATATAGTAGAAAAGATATAATACAAATATAAACATGCTAATAAAGCTGATGATGATATGCTGCTAAATAACATTTAATTAACATATATATTGTATCATAAAAATATAAAAATTTATGAAAAAATGTATTTATTGTACATATTTGTGCTTTTTACATACATCTGATATATATATTTATGGTTACTTTACAGATAGAGAAGCAGGGCCTATATTCTGTAACTGTTTTACACGTGTTGCGCAGATATTTTATATGATGAAAAAGCTGCGCAACGACACCGACAACTGTCGGTAGGCGTGTAAAACAGTTACAGAATCGCACCCCAGGTATTCATAACGAATTAACAGGGTAAAATTGTTAAGCATGTGTAAAGCAAATAATGACAATGTATTAAAGTGTTTGCATACTTAAATAGCAACTGGAGTATAATTGCTACGTCGATCTATGCAAAACCCTTTGGTCATTAATGCTAATCAGTCACTATCCTTTACCTTCTTTTCCATGAAAAGGACAGTTCCTTACACTGGTACAAAATACCTCGCTTTATATGTGTAAAAAAACTGAAAAATATAATTATATATGATCATAATAGACTGAAAATTCCTATTTCTGGTAAGCAGAAAGTCGTCTTTCTCCAATTTCCTTTTAAGATGGCAACGCTACGGAAACAATGCTGCGAAGTGTCGCAAATGTGGCGCAGATAAATTACGTTATTCCGGTATCTACATTAGCTTTATCTCTCTCCCCTCTAATTCTGTTTATTATTTTACAGTTTAAATCATATTACTATTATTAGTAAGTTAGAATCACTGTGTGTGTAAAAGGAGAGCAACAAACTCGGTAACAAAGACGGAAACAAAATTTGTGAAATAAAAAAAAGCAAATTTTTTTTCTCTAAAAATAACTTATACCAATAATTTCAGCTAATGCATACGATTTATGTTAAAAAAATTCGTATCTCCTTCGGATACTGGGAATGACGTAATTTCCCCGAAGTGCCGGAGGCATGAGTACGACGTGTACGAAAAAGCATGCATGATGAGTGTGAGTGAATAATAGACCTACGTGCTATTCGATACATAGTAGTAGCCTCTAGTAAAAAGCCCCTTGAAGCCCCTTTTCGCGGATATTGGCGACGAGTAGCGTGGTGTATGACTTTCTTTTTGTCTTTTTGCTCGGGGCCCCGCGCGTACGCGCGTAATTTAGATATAGGCGGTGGTGTAGGTGGCACGTGAAGGTGCTGTTTGGGTTCTGGAAATCAGGGTTCTCGTCGAACAGAGGTCTTTCGGGACGATGGAGTTACCACCGATCACAACGACATCCGGTACATCGGTGATGGCTCGACTTGTGCGATCATCATTGGGAAAACAATCTTCGTCCTCGTCCGCGGTATCGCAATTGCTTTCGAAGGAACATAATGGCCCGGTCGAAAGCATGGTGTCCTGACGTGGATCTTTATCGCTTTCACTGAACAACCTTCTTAAATTTCCCTTCTTTCGTCGTGGTTTCTTAAAGCTGCCTCGCTGATTGTGAAACCTGCACCATTTCTGCCAACAATTGTGATTATCCGAATAATTGATCAATTTCTCTACTTCGCACGTAACGTCGCTCATTTTTTCCGGCGGATATTTTTGTTCCTCAAAGACTTTAAATGATGCAAAATCTTGTGCTTCATCTTTTTCCACTGATGGCACCTTTGCTTCACATATTTCGAATAGCTGATCGACAGGTTTCTCAGAGGTATCAGTCAATAAGTACTTCGTTCTTTTTTCATCTTCAGCCATCATCAACGGCTTCACTTTACCATCGTCTCTTGTAGTGTCGACGTCATGCGCTTCGTTCTGATCAAAGTTGCCCAATACTGACGTGCCCAGAAATTCGCAAATATGTTCTAATGATTTCATAGTTTTCCATACTTCAACCATATTATTGTTTGTGCATTGTGTTTCAACAGATTTACAGGACAAAGACATTTCTGACCACGTACTTCCCTTCGTCGGAGACATATCTTCACAGGATACAGGTTCGGAGTCGGTCGTAGAATTTGGACATTGATTCGCCATCTCGGGGACGAGTGGAAGAACCGCCACCTCCGCAGAACGGGGACGTAGAACGGAAGAGATGGAGAATGTGTGCGATGCGAGTGGGATGGCGGGGAACAGGAAGCGAGTATCGGTAAGAGCGGTACGCACGGGGGTGCTGGTTATACAGGGCGTATCGAAAGTTACAGGCGTGACAGATCTGGATACCGCAAAGTTTACGCACTTTGCTGCGTGGTTCTCGGCCAGGGTCCTGGATGCCCGTGCCTCCTGGAGCTCCCGTCGCAGCGCCAGATTCTCCTCCTCGAAGACTGCGATCTCGCGACCTTCATTGCTAGTGCGAATAGAATTGATTTTTCTTTCCATTTTTTTTGTCAGAAGCGAGCATTGACGTTGGTTATGGGGAACAGCGAATTGATTTAATTGAAGTTGTGGATATCGTAAACTAATTTTGAGGATCGCATTCGTCGAGAAATGAAGCGAAAAATGGTTGAAAATATAATTAAAATAGAACGAGAGAAGATCGTTGTAAATAATAATATGAAATATCTTGATAGGTCTTCCAGAAGCGCTGATTCAAATGTTTCATCACTGACGGCTTTCACTTGTCTTCTATTTTAGCCACGTGACTTTACCATAGAAAGGATTATTCTGAAGTTATTGTCGGATTCCAATAGACATCGTAGAGTTTAATCTTAAGCTTAATAATCATAAACGAAATAATAGATGACATCAAAATATATTACACGCGATTTATTGGACATATTAATTATTTACTAATTTTGTCATAAATAAACGTATGAGAAAAATTATGCTTGTGCTCCTAGGCGTAGAAATTATGAACAGAAAATAAAACTAATAATTGAAACAATTGTGATAAACCATGGTCGATTACGTAGAAATAATATATAATTGGAATCAGTTTTCCGACAAACTTTATCAGATACACTGGAACACTCTATCATATTTTAATGCGCCTTTTAAATTATACACCGTCTGACAATGTTGAATACAAAACAAATACTAGAACCTAAAGCAAGCTTTTAAATATTTACAAATGCTAAAAAGCTTACTTACGTCGCGCTCAGTTTCAATGCCATCACTTCCTCTTCCAGTTTTGCGACACGTTGATCACTTTCCTCTTTCTCTTTTAAAATCTTCGCCAATTGATTCTGCAACAAATAAAATATAGAAACATTAATAACCAAGTAGATAAAAGCTAGACAATGAAAAAAAAACTGTAAAAAAAACTATTGTCATTAAAGTGATTAAAGTTTAAACCAGAAAAAGTTTTTAAAAATCACATGATATTATTCATATTTATAGATCTATTATATCATATCATATCATATCACTCAATCTTCTTGTATATTTTAGAGAAATTTTTGAACACAAGGCAAATAAAATCTTATTATAAGTCCATTCTTTTTTTAATTATGATACATATTTCTTTTTTTTATTACCTATTTCTTTTTTTTATTACAACTTTACCACTTAAATAGCAATTTTTTATTATGTTATTATGAAAAATGAAACATATATACTTGTTTTATATTATAAAAATATATGAACTTGAAGATGGAATAGATGGAACTAATATGGAATTATTTTCGATAGAACTATTCCAACATTTTCTAAACTATTCTTATAAACTGCTCTTCTTTTTACATTAGCGTAAACTGTGAATGTAATTGAATTTTTTTCTTATCTATTTTAACCACTTTATCTTGATGTTTAAAGGCAAACGCAACACGCTGGGAAATGTGTATAAAAAAAGGGAAAGAAAAGAGCTAGCAACCTTGATCAGCTCTCACGTGCAGTAAAATTTACATGGACGTGGAGAGAGATGGGTCCCGGAGGTTCAATTACGAGATTGCCAATATGCAAGCGACATGGCGGTGGCGGCCATCGCTTTGGCTGATGAGGCTAATGGATGGTTGAAACCTGAGAAGAACGGCAAAGAGGAAAAAGAGGCCAAGGGAGAGGCCCCTGACAGCCACTAAGTGCGCTCCGTCCTTCTCCACCCTTCCCCAATTCCCCCTTCCTTTCTCGTCCTTTCGGTCCCAGCCCTGTTCTCTCTCGTCTCTGCAACACTCTGCCCGCTGCGGATGCCCTTATGTGAAACCTAATCACTTTTAGCGCGCGTCACGGATATTTCGTATTATGTCTACATTGCGTTCTCCGGTATCAGCTGACTTTATCAGCCGTCTCTCTACAGTTCAACCTTTCCCTCATCTCCCTTCATCCCCTTCGTTCATAGAATCAAGTCGCGCGTGCAGCAAACCCTAATCGGCTGATGCGTTTCTCAAGGATAGATCATGGAGCCAATTTTTGAAAAAACATTTAAAAAATCTTGCGAGCTCTTTAATTTTAAACTTTAATTTAAATAATTTTTTTTTCGATTCAATGATTGTATACATTCAAGTATCGTCTTTTTTGTATTTATACTTTGCCGCTAGTAATGACATATAATAAACAAATACACTTTATAATGCGTGATTACAAATTACGTGGATAGTGTAGTTACAATGGAAAAGTATAATTTGTAAATAATGCAATATTTTTCTTTTTATGTTGTTAAATCGATACGCATATGCGAATGTACGTAATAACGACACATTTGCGTGTTTATACTAATGTATGAAATACTCTAATGCCACAATTACGTATCATCAAAGTAACACGTGCACCGAGGAAAATTGATTTTTCTATATAATTCATAATATGTGATCGCGACCATTCGTTTTTCTGTTATTAAAATTATTTTAATTTAATAATAAAATATAACTTAAAATAAAAATAGTATAACGTATTTTGTAATAAAAAAATTATACATTTATTATGACTACGTTCATTGTGCATTTTTAGAGCAACAAATATCACAATTGAAAAAATATATGAAAAAATTAAATGATATATTAATTATATATCAATTATAAAAACAATAAAACAATATAAAATTAATTTAAATAAACTTAGTCTATCAAGAATTAAATCTATCAAGAACAGATTCTGCAAAAGTCTGTTATAAATTTTCATCATCAGCAGAAAGGGTATAGATTTGATTTTGTATAAGTTTAATGTTATTAGTAGAATGATGATAACAATTCAAGACATAATTTGATGTAGATTAACAGCAAAAATAAATATAATCTGCGTTCGACAGATTCTACTCGTTTCTGCTGCTAATCTATCTGAGATTATGTCAGTAAATTCTATCGGCAAAAATACGAAATTAATACGAATACAGTTGAGTTTAATTTGCTAGCAATTTCTGATCGCATTTACTGCCAATTCATTGGCAGCGAACAGGTCACTTACTGAGAAAATCATTAATGGGATAAGAAGTAGAAATACACAAAAGAGCGGAAATAGAATCGATTGTACAGATTTTGCATATATATGATAATCGAGAGAGAAAAAAAGAAAGTTGAAAAAAGACTAATAGGTACCACGACCACCTGGCTGTCCTAATCAAATAAAACGTAGGAATGTCTGCACAAACATTACGTCCATGATCGTGACCCGGAAGAACGAATGTCGAAAATATTGAAGAGTGCTCATATTTCAATCCCAACCGCATAACGACACGAGTGGCACAAGAAAAAAAGGGGTTCACTACTTTTGTTTTCTATTCCCATATTCTCATATGCTTATAGCACATATGCTTTCTTTAATTTTAGTTTTTCAAAGATTTTTTTTGTTTACTAATTTGTGCTGTGTCAAAGATTTTTAATGTACTACATATAAAAAATTCAGGCGAACATAATAAGATTTGCTAAAAAAAAATTAAAAATAATATTTTGTATTTTGTATAAAAATAAAAAAAAATCTCAAAATTTTGTTTGTACTTAAACTATTTTATATATTATTTTACTATCTTATTTATATATTATAAAAGCTTTTTTATATTTTTATGTTTTGTTTGTATATATGATTAACAATAAGATTCGAGATAAAATAACAGATTATTTAATAAATGTATATGATTAAAAAATAGAGTTCAATTAAAACATAACTATTTTTTATTTTCAGTTCCATGTTCAAAGATGAAGGATATATTACCAAATTTGAGAAAATAATTTAAATATCAAATTATCATAATTATCATTATTTAAAAAAACAATTATTATATAAAATAATATATAAAATTATATATGAAGAACATATTACTATGAAGAATATTATAATATGAAGAATATATTAAATTAAAAAATTCTATTTACATACCTTCAGCTCGTCCACTTCTTTTGCTTGTTGATTACATTTCTCTTCCAACATAGATTTAACTGTTGTAACTAAACCTTCTTCACAATTCCTGTTAGCTTCTCTGATTTCACGTATAAGTTCTGAAACAAATAATACAATGTTTCATCAGAGTAATGATCGTCCCATATAATATGTGTGAAATTAATAACAAAAATTGTGAATTTTAGAATTATCTACCTGATAACATTCCAGGTTGATAATCCGCAGGAGTACTATGTCTACATTGTGCCAATTTTGCTTTGACATTCTCTACATTCGACTTAGCTTCACTAAGTTCTTTAAACAATTGGTTGTTACATTTTTTTAGTTCTGTCATCTGTAACATAATATTTGAAAGAGATCTTAATAATTTGAAAACGATATTGAACACACACATTAAACAATTAAATACATTTTGTATATTTCAAAACTTTACTAACAACAATCCTACAAATAATCATATCAATAATAGAACATGTTTAATTATATATTATATTTACCTATATATTTTCAAATAAAAAACAAACAAATACAAACCTGTTCAATAAGTGACAGGACAAGTTTATTACTACGGCTAATTGTCGTTATGGAACTTCCACTCTCAACACTATCGGAATCATCACTGTCTGAGTGAGCCGAAGGCCCAGCAGGTCCCAATCCAGGATCAGAGTATCTTCTGTGCTCCGAATTAAGTTCGTCGCCATTGACGCCATTGTCTTTGTTAGCGGTAGATGGTAGACTGGCATAATCTCCGTTTTGAAGAGCCATGTGTACAGCAGATTCCAAAACTCCGTTTTCTTGTAGATTCCCATAACCATTAACAATATTATTGACATTAGGACGAACATTCGTCAAGTGCTTATTACAGTGATGCCTTTGTCTACTGTGGACGGTTCTAATGTTTGGCACCGGCATCGGCTGATACATTCTGTACATTGTAGGCAGTGAGACCGGCTGCATAGTATACGTCATAGGCATCGGTGAATAGCCGCAGACGCTCGGATCCGACATCGCGGTGAATAGACGTTGTCCATTACCCGATACGTTCTGTACGTCTGTCGGTTGCCACAGCATCTGCCTTGGAGGATACTCCATACCAGGTACTAGGCCACCGTCCTGATTACTCTGTGAAGTATTCGGCCACGTGTCCTGTATTGTGTCCAGCAGGTTGCTCCTACGGCTGGATCGTCTCTTATTCTTCCTCGAGTGATTCGGCGGAATCTGAGGCGGCGGTCTCGACGGGTTCGACAACCTACGCGTCAATCGTCTTGTTTACACCAAAACATAACCCCTTGAATGAGCGACAAAATCATGACTCACCTCTGCTCCATCCCGACGGACGACTCGATCCGCATCAAGAGGACCTGGTTCCTCGCAAGAACGCGCGCAACATCCGTGAAACGAAGACGTTAGGCGAGTCGATCTGACGATCCAGTTCTTGGTTGTAATGGCACGTCGTCGTGAGATATTCCTTGAGCGGCCTGAGCAGAGGCCTGAGACTCCAGCGAGATATAAGTCGTGCAACTTCGCACTATCTTTGACAACTCACGCGCAAGATATTTTATCCAAGCTTATCGACGATCATCGTAACGCAACAGGGGGTTGAAAAGAGAACAATTTTGTTAAAAAGGTGAAATAAGATCGTCTTATCCACGACTACGTCTATCTACATTCACGCATGCTGCGGACGCTGCGCCCTGCGGTGGTGACGACGACAGCGAACAGGAGACGATTTCACTGTTTCATTGATTTTACGAAAGGTGACAAGCGACCATCGATAATAATGACTATCAAACTCGGAATATCCTCGGTCGATAACGTGATGTCCGACAGCAGCCGACAGCTGCTTTATATGCGATAATCTATGCGACTGTATGCGACATAACCTCGGAAAGCGAGTGTTAAAGAGAGGAGAACATGTAACGTAACCTCAAAGTGAGAAATGGCAACCGCTGGGAGACGGATGGAAAATGAAAAGAACAAGCCAATATTTTGCGAATTGTCTGTTAATGATCTGGAACCAGAAATTACAGAGATCGAGAGTCTATGCGTGGAATGTGGCAAGAACGTGAGCAAACTTTACGTTAATCTTGGAACTTCTCGTTAAGGCCCAGTTTCACTAATGTAAGGTTAACTTTAATCTGAGTTTGACTTACTCTTTATCTTTGTCTAAAAATTCTAAGAATTGTAAAAATTAGAAAAAGATAAAGAGTAAATTGGAGGTTAAAGTTAATCTCATGTTAATGGAACAGGCTTAATGTACATTTCTGCTAATGTAGGTTTATTTTAAAAGTTTAACTTACTCTTCATCTTTTTTTTAATTCGTAGAGCTAGAAAAACATGAGTTAGTTCGAATCGAGATTAAAATTAAACTACATTAGTAGAAACGAACATAAGCCAAGTATATCTGTACACAAATACTGTACACGAAAGTTTATTGTAGGATTATTTCATTTGTATGTAAAATATGATAATCTATATACATATATATATATATATATATATATATATATATATATATGTATATATACAATGTAAAGCATGTAAATTATGTTTTAACTGTCATCTATGTAAACAATCTAGAGATCATCAAAGCTTATGTTCTTTATTGTTGCACCAGACTGCACTAAGATCTGTCAAGATTAACTCTAATCTCAGTTTACTTTTTATTTATATATCTTATATATATTCTAAGAATTATGTCTACTTCAAAGTAGATTAATTTTAAATCTTGTTCTTTATCCTTTTTTTTAATTTTTAGAAATAGAAAAAGATAAAAAATAAAAGTTAAACTAAGATTAAAGTTAATCTTATAATAGTGAAATCTATTCTATCTAAAACTTCTATCTTGCCTCTATAAGTTTTTATTTATATATTGAAATCAATATTAAAGTTAAGATATATTAACAATCATAAAATTTAATTACTTCTTTCTGTATTATATTATCCTTTGTATAATATTTTACATTACTTGTATTGTCTACGTAAGAAAGATATGTAAACATAATCTTGAAATATACTGATTTGTTGTACAAATATTGCACAAGTTCAATTATTATATGCAATGAACATCGAATCTGATCAAATGCTGGTATTCAGAGTTAAGAAATAAATTGAATGTCTAAATATTTGTGTTTGATATTCATTCGATGTTCATTCACTAAATATATATCTAGTTTTAGAATGCATGTTCTCTAAATGATCATTATTTATTTCTATAAGGGAATTACCCGACTATTGTTGACAAAAATCCCACATTACAAAGATGTGGTGCTTATGTCCTTCGAGTGCGAGCACTGTGGCTATCAGAATAACGAGATACAAAGTGGAGGAAAGATAACAGAGAAAGGAATCAAAATAACACTGCAAATAGTAACATCGCAAGATTTGAATCGCCAAGTAGTTAAGTCTGACTACACTAGCATTCATATACCCCATTTGGATTTTGAAATTCCTTCTCAATCTCAAAAAGGAGAAATCACGACTGTGGAAGGGATAATTGACAGGAGCATTAGAGCATTGGAACAGGATCAGCCCAGACGTAGAGAAGAATTTCCAGACACTGCCGTCGAAATAGATCTGTTTATTAGCAAATTACGTGCACTGAAAATATTGGATGAGCCATTTACTATTATTTTTCAAGATATTTCAGGAAATAGTCATATAGAGAATCCAAAAGCGCCAATCAAAGATAGTCAGTGTACAATAACACATTTCAAAAGAACGAAAGAACAGAATCACGTGTTAGGAATTTATCCCGACAATGAAGATGTTTTGCTCAAACCTATACAGGAAGGAGATTATCCTTTGGAACAACTTGAGGGTGAAGTGCTGTCCTTTCCTACCAATTGTCCAGACTGCAACAGTCCTTGTGAAACAAATATGAAACTAACAAGTATCCTTTAATTATATCAGATTAAATTTTTATTAAATATTAGGAATAATATTAGGATAACAAAGCCGGAAGGATTAAAAAATAAATCTAAATACACTGTTGAAAAAATATTTAATGATTATTGTTAGCTAGTCGGAAATGTTTGTTTAATTGCAAAAATTAATTATATAAATATTACACATGAATTTTTTCTTAATATAATATTAAGATATACCACATTTCAAAGAGGTTGTTATAATGGCTACGTTATGCGAGTCTTGTGGCCATAGGACTAACGAGGTGAAGAGCGGCAGTGGGATCGAACCTCAAGGAGTCAGAATCGAAGTGACAATAACAGGCAAAGAAGATTTCAGTCGCGATCTACTGAAATCCGAAACTTGTGACATGGAAATACCTGAACTCGAGTTAGAAGTCGGTCCAACCATTTTGGGCGGTCGATTCACGACCGTCGAAGGGATCATAGCAGCGATGAAAGAGCAGTTGTCTTCGTCTACGGCTTTCACTGGAGATAGTACCGATCCAGAAATTGTGAACAGAATGAATGTGTTTATCGCACAATTGGAAGAAGTTTTAGATGGTCAAAGAAAAGTGACCTTGATTTTAGATGATCCGGCCGGAAATAGTTACGTACAAAGTCTTTCCGATGATGGATCTGACAATAGATTAAAGATCACGAAATATGATAGAAATTTTGAACAGAATGAAGAGCTTGGTCTCAACGATATAAAAGTCGAAAATTATTAGATGTCTACTAAAAGAGAAATAAATATTGTTACAGTACAAATGGCATATGTAAACATAGCTAAATAACTAAAATGTTTTTGTAACAATTTTATTTTATGTTGAAACAACTTGTATCTTGTAAATATAAATTTTATATTATTTTCAACACACAAATCCACTCTAATTATCCTCTATTTTTAATCTTCACTTGCGTGTCTGGAAGAGAAAATTTATTAAAAAAATTTTCTTACATAATTCATATAAGACAGCATAGTTACATATATTAAATATACATTGTAGAAAACGCATAGCATACATAATTGGTATCGCGTCAAGTTTTTTCAACGTAGGGAATCTCTTTACAACTTGCGCGCGCCACGATTCTACATCCATATTCTCACATATAGGATTGTTAATGAATTTCAAATCTTGAAGATTAGGTATCTCTTGCAGGCGATTAAATTCCGCCCAATCTTTCACCAGATTGTTGCCCATATATAAAACCTTGAGCGCTTTGAAAGCACTAACACCTTTGATCTTTTCAATCAAATTATAAGATATCCACAATTCCTCCAAGTGATCTCCAACTGCTTCCAATCCTGAGAACGTTTTGATATTGTTTCTGCTCAGAGATAAGATTTTCAGATATTTCAGCGAATTAATACCGCTAATCTTTTCTATTACATTTGTTGATAAAGATAATTTCCTATGAGAATATTTGAAAGAAATAATTTAATGAATGCATGATCTGTACAAATATTTTTATTGTTTATTCATTAGAAAAAAACGAACTCAACGTTATGTAATATCGCCAAACTGTTGTCCATTTTCTCGATTGGAGGCCACTGGAAAGATAAAATTATTTCCTTTTGTTCGCTCGCGATTAATCCTGTTTTCTCTTCCCATCTATGAATAGCTTCTTTGCACGTTGTTGCTTTAGCCTATATAATTTTAGATTTTATTTCTAAGAAGAGAGAAAGAAACATAATTATTTAATTCTTTAAAATCTATTAAGTCTCTACCATCATTTTAAATCACTTCAATAATTTCACAGTATAATCCTAATTTTTTCATAAGATTAATTAATATATCGTTGAATCTGTAAATATCAATATCGGTGAATTCTCAGAAGTTAGATGTCAGATGAAAAATAATTTTCTAATATACAGAGTGCTCTATTTTAACTTTACATCGAAATATTTTGAAAAGTATAAAAGAGAAAAAATGTTTCAGACAAGATTTTATTTGTCCTCCTTTAGATCATATAACTTTTGTTTAAAACATTTCTTGATATTTTTTTATTCTTTTCAAGATATTTTAATACGAAAATTAAAACGAGATAACTTGTATATATTAAATATATACAGGGAGTCTGAAAACTTTCGCATTTCTATTGAATCAATTATATCGTATTCCAATATTAATTATGTATAAAAATTAATTATGCTACTAAAAATTAATTTGTTACAATTAGAATTACTAAAAAACTAACTTTTCTATTATCATGACAGAACAATATGAGTAACATCGATAGATAATGATGAGTAACATCATTAGAGCTATCAAAGAAAAAAATAATTTACAATTTACTGACCAATCAAAAAATACTTCGAAGCATTTGTAGCATTAAGTGAATCGTAGCCTTAATCAGATTTTAACCAATCACATTAAATTGACAAATAAGTTTAAAATGTAAAGTAACTGTTAGTAAATTAATTACTAGTTATTGGAAGAAATATAACTAAGTTAAGTTACATTTACAGATGGAAAAAGAAACTAAATTAAGTTACAGTTACTGAAAAAAAGTAACTGTAACTGTAATTTAGTTACAAATAACTAGTTACTTCTCAATCCTGGTAATATACAAATAGATTTTCGATACAAAAAGAAAAACAAGAGAGAGATGTTACAATTTAAAAAAAATTGCATTTTTTAAATTTGCCGCGCATGCGAATATTTCTGTTGCCGTTGACATTCTTGGCTGCGTTCCACTTAACGCTCACAACGCTCGTGGAATCATTTCATCCTTATCGTTTATCAAATGTTAAACAAAGACAAACGATGCTCGCGAACGTTAAGTGGAACGCAGTCCTTATCAAAATGTTTTTATGGCACTACGTCATCTACAAATACAAAATGGACAAAGTTCAAAAGAGAAGTAAAGTTGCTGTATTAAGAAATTGCGAGGGAAGTACAATAAACACCTTATATTATTATAATCCGAGTGGAAATTAAAACTGATAGAACGTGGTGAATTAGCAGATCACCGAATTGTCCACAGTTCGAGTCCGATCCGACCAATGGCCATCGTGAACGTGCGCCATGCCATACGTCGCGTCAGCTCATTGGCCCGCGAAGTTGTCCGCGAAACACGTTGACACGCGCGGCTGACCAGAAGTCTGAACTCACGAATGTGAGCCCGATTCGATTGTGCGTGCATCACTGATAAAATTGGATAAAGCAGGATAAAATGCCGAAGAAAAAGAACAAGGTACGTCTGTCCCGATAATCCGTCGTCGTCGCTACACTCGTTTATCGTACGCGCGCGGAACGCTCGTCCTATCCGGTGGACGGAGAATCGTACTGTGGTAGTGGAAGTGGTGATGGTGCGCAAGACGGAGAAGAGAATAGGAAGGAAGGGAAAGAAAGAGGAAAAGGTTTCATTACGCGCGCGAGGAAGAGTGAGATAAATCGACTCGACGAAGAAAAGAGAGTAGCGCGGCGGGCGCGGTACAGGGAGAGGAATCGGGGGAACAACCCCGACAGACGGATCTTCTTAGCCACCCGAGAGGAGGATTGAGGAGGATGTAGCGTGACTCCGGTTTCTTGACCCGATCCCGATTCCAAGCGCTCGCGCGCTCGTACGCGCAAGCGTGCGAGACCGCCCTCTCTGTTCCATACGATAATCCGTTCTGTGCCCGTTCGGGTCGTCTCGCCACCGACCGGGATTAATCGCGCGCGCGTTGCGCGATCGGTCCGTGTTCGGATTTTCGATTCATTTCTTGCCGACGCGTACGTCGCCGACGGCTACGACGACGACGAAGACAACGACGAAGACGTGTGCTACTGCTGCTCAATCGGCCGCGCGCCCAAGACGAGCGCAATTCCCACTGTCACGTTCTCTCCTTCTTTCTCTCTGCGTTTAACGTTCGCGAGTGCGAAAGCCCCCGAGAATCCTAACGCGACGCGCCCCACGCATCACTACCGGCCACTCACTCCGCTTCTGTTCCAGGAGACGGCGAAGAGCGGCAAGGAGAAGACGAAGAATGGCAAGGACGTCGACGCCGTTGACGAGGTGAGGTTATATTGTCCCTCTCTCTCTCCCTCAGTCTCTCCTTTCGTCACTCACCGCGAGTCTACTCCTGTCATCGCGGATTATCACCGTCTATGAACCGCCTCGTGCGATTTTCCACGATGCACGTTGCAACACGTTCTATTTCAACAAATGTTTCACTAGGAAATGCATTCCGGTGTAATTTCATGATGACGATGACAGGTTGGCCGCATGGCTAACCCGACATCTTGCATCTCTTTTACTTGCTTTTTGTCCGCTATCTTGATACGGGAATCTTCTGTGCACAAGCATCGGGTGAATATTTGAATTATGTATAGTGATCATATCTTTTTTCCCAAATACAGAAACGTGAAAAATGAATAATTTCTTCATTATTTTCAAATAAAAATTTTTACTTTTTACATTTCCATGTTAGGAAAAAAGTGTTACATGATTGCTATCCAGGATACTTGTAAATTTAAAGACATATATTATAAAACAGGTCATTGAAAAAAGATATTTTAAGTTATCTTCAAAGATAACTGATATAGTTATCTTTGTACGACATTGATTGTCAGTGCTACATAATGTAGTCTTGAAGAAATAATAATATAATTTTGTTCGTCACACTGATAAGTTTGTCGATTCACGTGACACGTACAGTTGCACCATTTATAATATATAATTTAATATGATTTGTAGCTTCTACAACTATTGATTGTGAAAGTATATTTATATAATCAATATTAATAGTATGCTATTATGTTATAGATAACATCCTTCAAAGAAATGATAATTTGTTTAGAATGACGATGGAAATGCAGGAAGTAAAAGAAAAAAAAACATTTTATGATCAGAATTTATTTTCTTTCATGTACTTTATAAATACTAAATGTAATTCACAAAAAATATTAAGATTAAAATAGATGTGAAACACAACTTTTTATATTAAATATCGTGTATGATTTGACAAATACGTATTTTATTTTTTAGTTACGTACTTGACTTCTTTCACGAGAATGTAACTTTTTCTTATAGTTAAATTTTTATAGCAAATTTAATATAGAATCTTTTTCAGATATCACAGTTGAATAATGATAACAAAAGTACTGTATTCTTAATATTATTAATTGTATTTATTGTGGTACTATATATTCCCTAAACGAATCAATCAGATACATTCAATCATAAAAAAATGATTTTGATATTCATCAAAAAACAATTAAGAATGTCTGTTAGCTTAATCTATCCAGTTTGTTTATATATTAAAGATTTTTTTATGAATCTTTATTTTTTTTAAACAACGATAGAACTCTTCCTAATTATTTTTTTATGTATATTATTTAAATGATTGAATGCGTCCCATTGGCAAGAGGATCGTATTTGTTTAAAGAATATCAAAATTATTTAATAGCAATCGAATATTTTTGCCATAGCCATTTTCCTTTTGTTTTTGATAATTTCTTAGCATCGAGCGATAAATATATTTTTAACAGTCTATAGCTAGAAATGTATTGTGTTTGCAGCGAGGAGCTTGTAATTGATCGTTCAATAAGCAATCTAATCGCGAATATTTATTCATCGAGCCAGATAACGAAAGTTATTGTATCAGAGTTGAAACAGTTCCGCGCTAGATGGCGCTCTCCGCGACACTTTAGACTCTAAACTAAGGATAGGCAATGTTGACATCCAAATGATCAATTTAAAAACATCATTTTTTTTTAAATAATATATCGGAAACATTAATGATAATCGATAACTCGTAATTTCTATTTTTATAGCTATTTATAATATTTGTAATATTAAATTAACAAAATTAAACTTCGGAATTAAATTTGGATAGACTTAATTAGTGATTGATTCAATCAGTTTGCAGCAAAATTTCGAATTATATAATTTATTATTCTCAATTTAATCTTTTTTTCATATTAAAATTTATTCAGTGTTAAACTACATAGAATTAATAATTCCATTAATTCTATCCAAATTAATAATTTTACTATTAATAAAATAGTATAGATATCTTTCTCTCTCTTCAGTTAACTATCTATCCATTAATCAAAGTTTTATCGAAGTTACACTAAGGGCCGGTTGTTCTATCTTCGGATAAGCTATATGGTAATTTATCTAATCAAAAAAAAAAAGAACGAGAACGAAAACACGAGAGTAAACTAAATCCAGTCTAAAAGTATTTAGCTACAATAAATGAGAAGTATCAAAGAATTAAGTATAAAAATTAGGAACGAGAAATTAATTTTGACGTAGTGATATAATATTAATTAAATAATTTTGTACATTTTCCAGTAAAGTCTAATCAATTTTTTAAGAAAAAATGTCAAATATTAAATAATCTATTAAACATCTATTTCAGACATTTCTATTCATAATGAACATCATATAATATTACAAAAAAACATAATTATTTATATCTGTTAATATAAATAGGCAGCGTTAGTAAAAATACTAAAAATACTAGCGATTAGCATTATTTTCTCAAGGAAGGTACTATTAATCTGTTTAATGAGACATGAGGGGAGGGGGGGGGGAATATATTTCTTTTGGTGCGATAATATACAATATTTTGTATATTATTATTCTAGTACACTCAACTTCAACCTATTTTAGCATTTTATGTTTTATCGTTTAAAAATGCAGTTTTAGTTTTGAATATATTAACAAGATATAAAATTTAAATATATACAAATAATTCTTTAACAATAACAAGGTGTATGTTGAGTTTTTAGACTAATTAATTCACTTGTAAAAAAATATCGTCAAAATATGCCATATCATAAAAAAATTGTTTTTG